ATGTACTACACCAACAGTGGGGGGGGGGTTACAAAATTATGTTGGTTTATGTGGCAATCCCATAATGTACGTCACCAAACAATATTAATAATTTATGATGTCACACAGCTGAGATCAAATTAAATTAAGGAGATCCGTTAAATAGATTAAGTAAATTAACACACCTTAATTAGCTATTTAGCTAAACTATACTCGGTCCGAACCAAAAGGCAGGGGCGACACTGTGCTACATGCACATTTTGCACTGAAACATCTAGTTTGTTTCAGCATCCGACTGCTTAAAGGTCTGCTCTGAATGTCAGGCCAGGGACCTCATTTATAAAATGTGCTTATGCAAAATCCATGCCAAAGTTCAGATTTATTAAGGGAAAAGTACTTATATCCATGTCAGATTCAGACTTGGCGTACGCACTTTTCCTTGTAGCAATGTTGGGGTACTGCCGGTACTCAGAACCCTAAGAGCACCAGCATGCCATTTGCCATTGGATCTGCATAATGATAATAATAATAATAATAATAATAATCGCCAAGCACTACAGTATCTACAGTATTAGAGTTTTGTGACCGGAAGGCCCCAATTTAACAGAATATAGGCATCACAAAAATAATACTTCAGTACCAAGTCTATGCCAAAATTCTGAAACATGAAACAACAGTACGACAGGTACAGGGGATGCAGTTCTTCCAGACATGACGGGACCAGCATATATGCCTACAAGTGTTCTAGCCCCCCTCTGACGTGCCCCCCGCCCTTTAAAAATAGAAAAAAATAGGCCATACCCATAAAAATAGGCCATAAAATGCTTATCGCTCTTGAGCCACTTGTGCTGTATGTGGTCTGGTTCAAAACCTGGCAGCCACAAAATGTTAACAGGTCACAAGCTGATTTCTAAACGTGTTACTTACATGGAGAAAAAATACTTTTACTGTAAAGTTACCAACCTACATATGGCCAAGATATGAAAAAACATGGGAATATTAAATAGATGTAATACATAAAAACAACTATTACTATTACAAAAAAATAAGACACAGGGACAGTGCAGTGCCCGTGCAGTGCCCGTGCAGTAGGACATTAGTAGGACATCTTTTCAGCCTGCTGCATCGCTGTTCGCCTGGCCTTTAGTGTTTCAAAGAGACTACGCATTCCTGACACCACCACCGACCAGTAACGACCAGTAACGACCAGTAACGACCAGTAACGGGCAACCATGCTCAATGAGGATGTGCCTTCATAACCGATCACTGCCAGCCTGTAACCGTACACACGCATCATTAAATGACTACCAGTTACACTGAAAACTGAACACGGTAAATAAATCTCTTTCTTAAAAAAAACTGCTCACTGATGGACAATTAATTGCGAAAAGGGCTGGAACAGATCCCAGAATGCACTTGCAGAAGTTTGGCGAACTCCGAGATGTGGCAGCGTTGGGCTGAGAACACTGGACCATCCATGTGGTACCCTTCTGTAAACAGTGGGCCTCGGTCCCGTCCCATGCCTGTCCGCCCCCGAGCCTGGACTGTGTCAGGGATGGAAAGTCCCCCTAAGCAGAGTTCTCTTGCATCACTCTTTATTTAAAGAAAACTGCCGCTGAATAATATTAAAATGGAAGAATCTGGAAATAACATGAATCACTAAGAGGTGTGAGATAAATCAGACACAGACATGGTCAGTGACTGCAGAATAGAAACGATTTTTCTCATTTTACTTTAATAATGCAGTGGTCCCCCCTTATCTGTGGTTTTGCTTTCTGCGGATTCAATTATCTGTCAGGTCAAAAACATTAAACGGAAAATTCCAGAAAAAAACAATTCATAAGTTTAAATTGCCCGCTGTTCTGAGTAGGATGATATCTCACGCCATTCCCCCCACCATATACACAACCCACCCCTAAATCACTTGGTAGCTGTCTCAGTTATCCGACTCATTGTCATGGTATTGTAGTGCTTGTGTTTAAGTAACCTTTTTTTTAAATCAATGTGTCGCTCAGGGGGTTGGGATACTGTTCTCGGGGTCAGAAGGTTGTTGGTTCAAATCCCCTGGGCGGCAGCATGATTTCACCCTTAAGCAGGGCCTATAAGTTCCAGTTGCTCCAGGGACAGCCTGACCTTGCTTCTTCAATTCTATGTCAGCTAAATAAAGAAAATGTGTCTAGAGGGTCAGAACAAACACCTACCTGAAATTTTACTCCATTTAAAAAAAAATCAACAGCTACCACTCCCCAATCAGTGATAACGGCAGTGTTTACTTGACACAACAAGTGCTTAGGTGAGATTAGGCAGAGTGGCGCACAAACTGAGGGTGTGATACAAACTGAGGGTGTGATTCAAATTCCCATCCCTGGGATGGGAGGTGTGGGGAGAGACTTGGTTATGGTTAGGGACGCGCACTTGTAATTGAAAAATTGCTGGTTTGAATCTCCAACCAACAAAGTACCACTGAGGTACCCTGAGCAAGGTACCGCCCCAAGCACTGCTCCCCGGGCGCTGAATTAGCTCCCCCTGCTATGTCACATTGTCACATATGGGTTTAATGCAGAGGACACATTTCTTTGTTGTGAACTGTGTGCTGTGGTGCATCAGCAATGACAGCTAATTACTTTCCCTTTCCCCTTAATAAGGTCCTCAGGCCCCCCGCTTTAATACAAGTGATCAGATGAACGACTCAGTGAACATCATGATCAGACTTGCAAATTCACATATCTGATCGGATGACAGATGCACCCACAGGAGGAGCGATTAAATGTGATTAACACACCATAAAATATTATAATAACAAGGGATATCTTTGAGCCAGATTAAACCCGGACTTCCAAAAGCAATCCCCTAACCAGCTTGTCACAAATGTGTGGAAGAGGACAGACCAACAATATACTAAGCGTTAAGTACAAGTTAATATAAAAGGCAGCTACACGCTGTAGGTGATTTACAGACCTCAGCTAGCCTAGCTACATGTCCCTGGCATGCTAACAAAGTGTCTTTTGTCTTTGGTATGCAATGTGGATTTCGTTTTCTGCGTACCTGTCACTTTAAGATGACTAAGAAGGAGATAATTAGCTTGTTAGTGGAGGGCGTGAATCAGATGCTAGTTTTCTGAGCTCCTTTTGCATTATGGCTGCACTGAGGCTGCTCGGGGAAATGGCAGGTGTGTCAAAGTACTTATTTACATCTACCAGATACTTCCATCCAAATAGGAAGTACAAGTGAGGAAGTGCAGGCCAACCCAGCATCCCTGGAGCAGTTGGGGTTAAGGGCCCTGCTCAAGGGCCCAACAGTGATATTATCCGAGGTGGAAAGTCCAGGCTCAGAAAGTACAAATCCAGACCAAGATTTTGATTCAACCAACCACTTGAGTATAAAGAGTCAGACTCCCAAGGGTACTCAACTGATCGGTTGGAACAAAATCTTGGTCTGGATTTGTACTTTCTGGACCCGAACTTTCCACCTCTGGATATGATTACTCTGCTGGCTCCAGAATTCGAACCCATGACTTTCTGGACACTGGCACAGCTCTCTAACCCATTAAGACAGATACCACCCAGCAGCTGAGTTAAAACCAAAATGTGGTCACAGGAATCAACAATTACCTGTCTTAAGGAAATGTTCTTAAGGGGCGTGTGGTTTCTAGGCTGTCTGCAGGTGAAACAGAGGAGCCATTCTTCTGGGCTGTTGGTCCGGAACACCGGCCCGCTTCCTGGGGGCTCGTCTTCCCTGAAACATGGTTCCCAGAAAACTGAGTGGGACACGGGGGAAGACTAAAAAAGGGATTCATGCTGAAAAGGCACCTGCTTTTTGGAGGGGGCTGGGACCCCCTCTAACGGCACAGAGAAGGTTGGCCTCATTTGCCTCTGTCTGCGCTGACAGCACTTAAATAAAACCGTCAGCGTGAGGTGATGCAGGCCTTGCCTCGCCGATGTTCCCTCAGATTACTCTGATCTCAGTTCACCATCAATTACCCAGACACGAAAAAGCTCTCGTTCCACTAAAGGACAGAACCGGTGCTTGGGTGGAAATATGATGTGTTATATTCCGAGTACTGGCTGCTGTGCCCCCCTCCGCATGCAACACCATGTGTCTATTTTTGTTATTTTAACAATTATTAATACATTTGTTTTTTTTCTGCAGCTATTGGAAAGAATAGCTTGGGGATTAAAGTTATACCCACTATCATTTATCACGCACCCCCAGAAAAGCCCCTTACCAGCCCTTCTGTCTCGATCGCCATTCTGACCATGTATGCTGATTTGTTACTTCTGGCAATCAAATCGTGATGCTTAAGTAATGAGCCTTAAGTTCCCCCAGCAGACGACTTTCCTGAAAAAATGTACAATTCACTGACTCTTACATGTTATATGTGTAAAAAAATTCACATCAATATTGTATATATTATTTGATATTGTACATCTATAGTGTATATACTTCGGTTCCATGTTATTTTCTTATTCATTTCTATTTTATTTATCTTTTATAGCTTTGATAGGAAGCACACAGAATTTTATTGTTCAGGTAAAATAATAAAAAAATTCTATTCTATTCTATTCACACGGTCACTCACACCCTCTGCTTGACAGGGCCAATCAGCTTTGCTCATATTGCATAGTGGCCTGCCAATGGCGTGATCCGAGCCTTGCCAGCCAATCAGAGACTCAGCCGAGTTTATTGATGTGGAACTTAATGTAGAGGCGTCAGTAGCAAAATATATGCTAGGAAACCCGAAACTGACAAAGCCGAAGCACCTCGTAGTAGATAAAGGCACTGACGTGTCTCCTTTCTTTAAACCAGTGACATGGTGTTTGCCCAAAGAAAGCTGCTTTAACGGGACAGGAAGCTCAACACATGATCCTGCTTGTTGGCTGAGAGGACTAGCGTGGACACGGTCAGTCAGTGGGGACTACCTGAGTGGCCAAGATATCACTTTCAATATAGTGTTTCATCCCAGTCTGCTTTCAACAAAACTACAACGTGGCTGAACTCTCACCAAAAACAGCGGCCTCATAGCAGACACACCAAACTGAGAATTTATTTGTGAGCCACAGAACTGAACAGTTAATACGGTTCACTCAATCTAAAAACGGGCATGACAAAACAAAGATATTCGGTAAGACTTTCTGTGAATGCCATGTGTATAAGAATGTATATCACGTTATAATGCATTCATAGAGCATTATAAACATGGCTATAAATATTTATAAAAAGGCATAAGACATTATAGCCTTGTTTATTATGCATTATGAATACAGTACTTTATGAAGCTCTCGTTTATAATGCACTATAGATACCTTCATAATGCAGTACAGAGCATCCCTAATTCTTATACCAATCATTACAATGCATTATGAAGGTATTAATAGTGAATTTCATTGGAGCTTATTTAGTATTATAATCAACATTATAATGCCTTATAACTCTCAATAGAAGATGCTATAATGCTTTATTAATTCGTATACCAACCTTTATAATGCACTATGAAGTGCACTATAGATGGCAGCTTTAAGTAGAGTTACCAAATATTCTTTTGAAAATGAAACCATTCTCATATGAACAAAACACACAAAATCACAGAACTGACTGCCAATGGGCAATCTACTACAAACTGCCAAGGTGTACAGGTCCACAAAGTCATTTAACCTTTAATACAATCCTGGAAATTCACTAGAGTCAAAGGTAGGGTGATGACAGCCTCTTGCTGTTAAAAGATGACACGAGAGGTGAGATCATTTTACAGATTAAATACATTTTGCTGAAGCCGCTTGTGTATCCAGCTTAATCAGCAGTGAACGGCACTACATTTCAGTTTTACCAGAATCATCTTTTCTTGTTTGTCTTTTTCTGGTTTGTGCTCCTTCTTTCCAGAAGCTAATCGATATGACGCAGGTGCACTGAGCACTGCTGACAGCGGTAAATGAGCGTTAAATTGCCCGTGTTTTGTTTTTGTCGATAGTCCTGTCCTTTTGCTAAGGACAGGTGGTCTGGGAAAAACATGGCTGCCGGGCTCTAATGTCGGTGTAGAGGCAGCGGGATGCTGGGACACCGTGTTAATCACCCTAAATGTGTGTGAGTGTGCTTCTAAGCTGGTTTCCACTTCATCGTGGAGTAAAGTACAATGCACTCTACCAATGGAAACAGCCCCCCCGGCAAGTACAAAGAAGAATCACAAAGCAAACACACAGCAAACATCAAAGCCCCCCTGTCAGGCAAAGTCTCTCCTCTAATGATCTGTAACTAAAGGAGAACAAACCCTCTTTGTGTTCAGGTCCGGCATACTCCAAAAGCGGCAGGAACCTAGAGACGAGGGTGGAGTGGGTACGAGAGTGACTATGTCACATTGAAGGTCAAAAAGGTGCTGCTTGCCTTAACCTGGCAGCTGGAGCGGTCCACTGAAGCCCAGGGTCCGGAGCCGGGGACACCCTGCTGGGCCTGGGAGACCTCCACGGTGGCCTGCTCTGCCACACTGGCAGTGTGCGCAGGCGGCACTGCGTGCACACGGCCCGCCACCCTTCCACGCCGCAGCACGGGGCAGCTGAAGGCCTTGCGGAAGCCCTTGCGGAAGTGGCGGGACACCAGGGCGTAGACGACGGGGTTGAGGCAGGAGTTTGCGTAGGCCACCAGGTGGGAGAGGATGCGTAGGGCGTAGGTGGCCTGGTTGAGCGGGAAGCGGCCCGACCACATGCACAGGATGACCAGGTGATGCGGCAGCCAGCAGAGGCAGAAAAGGGTCGCCACCACGACGATCATCTTGGTGACCTTGCGCTTGCCGCGACGGGATTCGCCGGCGTCCTCCAGCGGGTCCACGGCCGTCCACAGGTGGCGGATGGTGCAGGCGTACGTCAGGCCCAGGACACAGACGGGCACCAGGTAGCCAAAGATGAAGGTGCAGACGTCCATGGCCCGCCTGTCCCGGGGCCCCCACACGGGGATGCAGACCACGCTGCCGTTTAGCACCATCTGCTGGTAGTAGCTGAGGTAGGGGCCCGAGAAGACCAGTGAGAGGCCCCATACGCAGCTAATGGACAGGACGGCGTTCCGCGGGGTCCTGAGCTCCCTTGATCGGAGGGGATACCTGATGGCCAGATACCTGGTGATGCATATCAACTGTCACTGAGACATCTGTACAATTTATTTATCAAAATTTTTTTTTTATTTAATTTTATGTATTATACAATAAAGTAAATAAAAACACATTAAATAACATAAATGCCTTTTCCATTTTTTATTATTAATAATTATATTTAAAAACCGTTCCGCTGCAGTATCTATAAATGAGCATGCGTTATATGTAATATAAAGTTGATGGGGCATTAGTGTTAAACGATTAACAGGTTAAACCGTATTATGGCTGTATGAATCAGAATCAGATATGCGGTCCTCACCTGTCCAGAGACACCGCGGCCAGCGTGAAGACGCTGGCGTACATGGTAAGGTATATTAAGAAGTGCACCGCTTTGCATAGAAAGGAGCCGAAGACCCATTCGTCCATGGTGTAGATGGTGGCTTGGAAAGGCACGCAAAAAACGATGAAGCAAAGGTCCGCCACTCCGAGATTCAGGATGAACAAGTTGGTGGTCTTGGTGTTCATCTGGCCGTTTCGGAGAAGAACGGCCAGCACCAGCGAGTTCCCCACCGTACCGACTAAGAAGATGAGCGAGAAGACCAGGGAAATTATGACAGACTCCGCTTTCCAGGTCGTGGCGGTATGGTTCACATGAGATGCGTTCATTGCTTTCTCGGCTGGTCTTTAAAAGCTCCCGATGCCTCCGTTTCCGTTACCGAAAGCCGCAAGTGTGCGTCACTGAGGCGCGCATAGCTTTACTTCTAAAACGCAGGATCATTTTCACACGGACCCTTCTCCAAAGCCCGTCACTGATTAACTATACCATGAAATAGCAGCCCTTTTATATAAGACTAATGGTTAAAAACGTTAACTTTAAATGATTTCTCATATCGCCCAGATCTCATTGAGGACTTTAAACGCGGACTTCTTTTGGGAAAAAATAAGCAGTATGAAATCACGGCATGTGATAAATCTACTTTACCGTCGTGGCACGCCGTAGCATTTACAGAACTCCGCCCGATTCCCGTATCTTCTCTACCTCTTTCTGGAGCCTGTGGCCGCTTTTTGAGCTGCGCTCTCCCTGACCGCCTCGCCGGGCGTCGTGCGGAGCCAAACGTGGCGTTTCTGAGTCGCTCCTGATCATTGCCTCCAATCACACAGTCACCACGGAGACAGCAAGAGCTACCAAATTGATGGTGACTCTGCACCCCGCTACTCTGAAACCCCAGCTACTTACTGCCGTGGTGTAACAATAACTCCCTAAATGTGGGTACGCTTCACAGAAAAGATTCCAATTTAATTGTTCACACATCAGCATTAGTTAGAAACGCGCGGCTGATAGCGTTGAATTTTGTATCCAAATAACTGCAATATACATTACAGTTCGGACTGATTTTCTACAGTCTGGCAACTTTTTATTGCTTTAACGCAATAAAACTCATTTCCATAAATTAACACATCTCCGTGGTATTTTATCTGGCTTGTTCTGCATCTAACCTCTCACCTGCTCACACATCAGGTAGACCTAGATAAAGGCATATAACGGGCAGTTATTAGACAGAAAAACATACCCCTATACCCATAACTCGGCTGCTATGTTTGCCATTTGACTGCTACTGCTGCTGCAGATGCATCTACTTGCACATCACCATTCCTCCAGCCAAAGAGTCTGTTCTTCTGGCCCTGTGTACTCAAATACCTGGAGGGGGGTCATGTCAGACGTGATATTTTACTGCAGAAAGTGGTGGTGGGTGGGATTAAGATGATGACTGATGGATTGACTTTTTGGCTTCTTCTTCCTGACTGCGCTCAGCAGAACAGTGAAGTTCAGATGTTTTTCTTCTGTATCCAGTAAAACCTGAAACTCTGAAAACAACAGAATTCCTGTACTATGAACAAAATGCAAGAAGAGAAACGGAACACCCTTAAAATAAATACCTACCTATCTAAAAAATAATGATACACCAAATATACAAATTAATTATCAACAGACATACCTGTAAGTCCCATAGGTCTTTGTCTCAATTCCATAATTTGCTGCAATGCAAGCAGCCCACCCAGCCTAGATCAGATTTAACCCCCTTGGACTAAGGTGACACAGTGGTGCCCACAATGTAACCTAGAGAGGTGACAGCATTGCTGGCTGAGATGCCTTTGACAGCATTTTTGAGGTCATGTGATCCCCATTTCCTTTCAGTTTTCACCAGTATAAACGCAGGTTTCTGATTTAAATTCTGACATTTTTGTGGGTACTGTCCTGTTGACGACCCAGAAGCTGGCTTCTGGGCTTTGGCTACAGCAAGCCTACTGCAGATTACAGCTGTTTACATTCCTCTGCGTTCACACAGATGGCTGCATGATTCGACAGCAGGGTACAGGCCGCAGATCTCCACGGTGACCTGAGCCAAGCGGGAGGCAGCTCCAGACCGGATCTGCTTGAGCTGGGGCATGATGTTAAGGATTTGACTTTAAGATTTTCAGTGCTGGCTAGATGAATCATACGTAGCGACCCATCTACTTCTGAAGCACTGACCTCATGTTCAAGGTGGGATTGGCTCTCAGGAACTGAAACTAAATATGTTAACTGAGCTGCTGGGGGTGCAAGCATCCTCAGAAATTGTTAGCTTTCAGACCAGGCTTTTGAACAGCTAAAAAAACACAAACATCCCTTTATATAGACACAGGCTAACAGCTGGTCTTGGTTGCTCTGACAGTTTTTCTTATCAGTTACAGAACAATCTCCTACATCTGAATAATGTCATTTTTATTGTCAGTAATAACATTTTTTGCTAATTATAAGCCAGATATTTTTCATATATGTTAGCAGAGTACAATTAGGAGATTTGTTTTTGGAACATGAACTTTCCTGAACTTCCCATCAATTACCAAGAGAGGGCAGCACTGTAATAGTAAATGGAATGTGCCTCTGGAAACTGCACTTGTCTGCCTTTAGATCCAGCCCGCTGTCTCCCCCTGTGGCCAAGCACCCACAATGCGTGCAGGTACAACAGAGTGCCACTGATACTGTGAATATCACCCTAGCACAGTATTTCTCACCCGGGTCCTTGGGGACCCCAGACAGTCCACGTTTTCGCTCCCTTCTAGCTCCCTGCTAGATAAAATCCATCATACTGGGAGTTGGGAGGCAGCAAAAACAAGCAGCCTGACCAGTTTGATAAAAACTCCCCATGCCATATAGGGACCTTTTCCACCGCACCAGATACCGTACTTTCGGTACTTCCATAAAGTACCAAAAGTATGGTACTTCTTTTGTGTCGGTTTTCCACTAGTGTAAAAACTGGTACTGGCACCAAATGACATCATCAGTGACATCATCAGCGCGGCATGGTATTTCTTTCGCTGAATTCTATTATTATGTTATTATTTCACTCCTGTTATTATGATCCTTCACTTTCCTGTAGTCCTGCTTAAGTTTTTTGATTTTCAAGCAGCATTGTTCGGTGTTTCGCATGTGCCCCATTTCTTCCAAGCAGCTTGTTATTACAGTAAATACGTTTTTATTTCGAGTCGTGCCATCCAAATCCCGCTGGATCTGTTCATCCGACGATATGACGATTAAAGCCTGTGTTTCCTCGTTTGTCCATCCTTCCATTTTACTTTTTAAATATTTTTGTTTGTACTGCTTTTTATTTAGTTTCTCGCTGTTGGCTGTGTGTTTCAAAAAATGGCGGTTGTATTTTGTGTTTCAGCGGAAGGCTATTTGCAAACCAATACATTTGCAAGTCCCACCCCAAAGTACCAAAGTACCAGAGAAGTACCCCAGCTGGTTTGGCAGTTTTGGTACTGGAACTTTCGGTACTGGTACTCAACGGGAAGTCAATGGAAAAGTGAAAGTACCGAAAGTACCGTACTTTGAGCAGTGGAAAAGCGCCCACAGTGAGCCAAAATGTCCTCATTTCTCCCACCTTCATGACACCCCAGCTCGTCCATCCAGGTGGAAATTAGATGCAGCAGGACGTAAATTAGTCACTGAAATCTATGGTGGCCTTAAAAAGCAATTGCTACAGAACCCTGAGGATGAGGTTTGCAGTGCATACCAAAGCAGCTGAGTCTTCTCAATGTCGCCCTCATGTGGCTAGATAGAGATAAGCGGTTTTCGCAACTACATGTCCGCTCATACCACTGAATTGTGGATGCTAACAAAATGTAGAAAAACACAAACTCCTGCTCCGCCCCCCCCTCCTTTGTGTATTTATTTGTTTATATTCATGTTCATATATTTAGGAGCCACCCCAGTCAGTTAGGCTAGTTAGCTTATATCCCCAAGCTCAGGACTGCTGGACTGAAAACTGATCCTAAATCAGTGAACATCAGGAATTCACCAAAGCTCCAGCAGCACATGTTTTTTCTCCCAGAGCCAAATTTGCAGGTCCATTTGTAATGGCATTACCAGGCCATGCCTGGAAGACAAAGGGACACCACCCACGACATCCTCCCGCGGTTCCCACCGGATCAAAGCGGCGGGCAGCGACCACAGCGATTCACACCGGGACGCATGTGGAAGCGCTTCCAAGGAGAACAGGAGCAGGCGTGGGTCTCCAGGCGGGCGGTCATGGGCATGCGACACTTATACAGCTTCCCGCAGCGTTACTTCCAGCTGACCACAGGATGGCACATGAACTGGGAATGCTGGGAAGTCACTCAATCCCCAGCTCACTGGTTATTTTCTCTCTTCCACAGGAAACTTGCAGTAGTACAAGATAAATATCAAAGATGCCAGGGATCTGAGGCAGAGCAAGCAGAGAGGAGTCTGTTTCCGTCCTGCCGGCTGGCCACCTGTACGGCCTATCACTGTGATCTCGCTGCTCCTGTAGGGTCCTGTGGAGACAGTCCAGCCTGTTTCCGTCCAGCCGGCTGGCCACCTGTACGGCCATCACTGTGATCTCGCTGCTCCTGTAGGGTCCTGTGGAGACAGTCCAGTGTGTCCCATTTCGAGATATACACCAGGACAACAGGCCGCCCGATTTCCCAGCCACATCCTTAGCAGGAAACGTCAGCCCCTTGGCATGGTTTCCCGAGTCGGCGAGGACACGCCAAAATGCACCATGCGATCTCTGCGCCTGTTTCTTGAAAATGCAATCTTCCCGGTCGCTCTCCGGCACCAGCTGCAAGGACCTTCATGGGGACGTCCTGCCTTCACCATCGCTGGCCACATCCTCGCACCCCAAGGATTTGCAAGCCATTTTGTTTTTTGAACCGTCCCGGTGCCTGGTCATAAAACGGCTTGTAAGAGACAGTGTAAGAGCCAAATGATGTTATAAGCTCCCTTTTAGCAGGATCCTCCCCTCCTAGCTGGGAGTGCCCCTCTTAATTATCGCTTTGGGGGGGGGGTTCACTTAGACAACTGCCTATACGATGGAAAAATTACAGAAGCGTCCGATTTTAATCAGTATTTTGGGGTGATGTTTGGGGTGTGCGCTGACCAGGAATGCTAATCCATTACTGAGCACTCACGCACACACACACACACACACACACACACACACACACACACACACACACACCTGTGGACATGAAGGGCCAGTCAGACTGTACAATCAGTGAAAGCATGGCTGTGAGAGGTCACCAGACAGCCTGGAGGGACCCGAGCAGACAGAGAGAAAATGTACTCTCCACAAAGACAGATTCAAACACGCGTTCCTTGGCCGATTTTACATGTTATAAATTGGCTACTGCTGCTTCATATCCATGCAGCCGATGAATAACATTACAGTCTCCTGCCATTAAAAATTTATGAGCGCACACACACAGACACACACATACTGACACACAGACACCGACACACACATACTGACACACAGACACACACATACTGACACACAGACACCGACACACACATACTGACACACAGACACAGAGACACCGACACACACATACTGACACACACACACAGACACTGACACACAGACACAGAGACACCGACACACACATACTGACACACACACACAGACACCGACACACACATACTGACACACAGACACACACACACACACAGTCACCGACACACACATACTGACACACACACAGAGACACCGACACACACACACAGACATACTGACACACACACACAGACACACACATACTGACAAACACGGACACCGACACACACATACTGACACACACGCATACACTGACACACGCACACACATACATACATACACACACACACACCCTCCCTGCTCTCTATAACCGCCATTTGGCTCTCATCCCCCCTTTTTCCCCCCACAATTATTTCGGAATCGAAATCTCAAAATGCTATATATCGTGAGGCACGCGAAGGGGGGAAATCCATATGGAAAAATGAGTGAAAAAAGCAATGGATGCCGTCTGAACGTCTGGAATTCTGCTGCCGTCGTTTCCTCATTCTGGTTCTGGGCTCGCTTGGGTTGGCCAGACCTGGGGCAGCGGATGGAACGAGCAGCGGAAGGCGATAGTCACTCCAGACTGGACCGTGCCTCTGGTCAGGTGGGGGGGGCATGCTGGTGCTCTGGTGGAATTGGCATTGGGGGGGTGGGGTTCTGGGGAGGGGGGTGACTGGAGTAGACCGAGCTGCAGTGTGGTCACGCGAGCCGTGTGTGGTTTACCCCCACGCCCAATACCTCTCACTCTCCTACGTCCCAGACGCTCTCCGAGGGCCACCTGATCTCCGTGCGCCAGTCTCCCCCAACTGCCCCCCCCATGCAGCCCCGCCCCTAACCGCATGCAGGAATGGTTTGAATAAAGGCCGGCACGACTGCGCGCCCACTCCGCATAACGTCCCGACGACTGATCGTTTACTTAGTCTCCGCCTGAAGAAGCGAAACATTGTTTTTCGTGCGGTGGAAACTGAAAGAGCCGCTGGCTGGGGCCGGTACCTTCAGACGGAAAGGCCGGCCTGCCGGGGCTGCCTTGGCCCAGCCCGGCCCAGCTCAGCACAGTGGGGGGAGGCAAGGGAACAGTGAAGCAAAACAAGATCCAAAACATAATTCATGAGGAAGGCACACACAACGGCACTTCCTACCCCCTCGGAAAAAAACACATCTGACCACAGGCTGCCCCGGACGGCCCAGGCATTGCGGGCAGTGTGAGGTCACATTTTCCCCTTAACGTTAACACGATCTGCGGGGTTGTGCAACCAGTTACCAAGTTACCGTAGTTACCGTCGGCAGTCTGGCGGCCATGAGTGGCGTGGCGGCCGAGGGATGGTTCCAGGTCTTGTCACTGAGATCCCCACCCGGCACACGGTCTGAGTAAATATTGTGTCGAGTCGTGAGACGTGGACTTATCTGTATCTCTGGAGCGTGAATATAAGCAGGGGACTGGGAAACCGCACACAGTGAGTCAGAGAAATGGTGTCCTCACCTTCCTCACATAGAGGCTCATCGCAGGCACACACACACACACACAAACAAACACACACCCCAATGTCTGGTGACCCAGTAACCTGTGGTTTCTGTGCCTCATGCTTGGCTTTGAAGGATGGGAGCAAACCAAACGTTCCTGAAAAGTGAGATTTGAAATGACCCCCCTGCCTTGTCCAAATCTGGGTCATCGAGAAAACCACACACATACACAGACACTCACACTCACAGACACTCACACACACATACACAGACACTCACACTCACAGACACTCACACACACATACACTCACAGACACTCACACTCACAGACACT